AACTAAAAAGGACATACATCCAGCAGCACTGTTGAGAAGCAAAATCCAGGACAAGGATATGAAAATGAAAGAGCGAGGCTACAATTTAGGACTTGTTCAGATCTTCAACTCAGATCTCAGTGGTTCTTATGGAATCCTGTGGCCCATAGTAAATGAGTAAAACTTTACCTTCCCTAAAGAGAACCTTTTCTTTGATCTCACAGAAATGGCTGGAATTAATTTTTATGGCGAAATCATTAAGTGCTGAAGTTCAGGCAAGGGAACTAAAGAATGCCACTGAACCAAGAACAGAGAGGGGTCTCAATGACAGCAATGTCTCTTTGAGTGGAAGACATCTGGAAACACTGTCACCTTAAGTCTTTGTGAAATAAAAGCCCCCTATAATGATTCATAATTAGATTTTTCTCTCAGTTGGCTTCCAATAAACAGAAGTTATTTTAAAAATATATACATAAGGAGGTGCTACTGAAGGAAAAGGGGGAGAGTTCAGCACAAATGCCCACCAGATTGTCCCTCTGACTCTAGCATCTCTTTACATCATTACCCAACTACCGATATATATCAGTCCCCATCACATGTAGTTTTGCCTACCCAGACATCAAGAAACTTCTCCCTTAGCTCTTTGGGTCCCCCACCACCACGTGAGAAAGTATTCATCTGTTCTAAATAAATGTTACCGTTGAACTCTTACAAGTATGACAAGACCAAAAAAAAAAAAGTGGGAAGTGATAGTTACTATACTGGGTCTACCATACTATTTTTTTTTTCCAGAAATCTCAGTTGCTGTTTGCTTAATTCCTATAATTCCTACTAGACTAGAACAACAATTCAAAACAGTTTTAAGATTTTTTTTTAGATTTAAAGAACCACATGGTGTTATTTTGTGCAAATATTTGCTTGAAATATGACAAAGGAAATCAAGCCAGAGAAACATGATTTATTATTGCCATCTTTTTGTTGAAAGATTTAAGAATACATGCATACAAACATACTGAAAGATCTCTGAGAACACATTTGTGAATATCAAGAAACAAGTCAAGGGTTCCTCATTGGCCCTGTTTTAAGCAACATTTGGAGAATTATTATTTGGATTCCCAGAGATGCTGGCTCCCTTTTCATATTCAAACAGTAGCTAGGGATACCAGATTGCAAAAATGTGGATGACCACTAGATGGCAGAGAATTTCTCTTTGATGCCACCTTATGGTTACCTAGACTTGGGACCACTAAGAATAGCTGATACTCCATGGAATTCAGCTCTAACGGCAGGTATCGAATATGGTTAACTCTTGATTTATTATCATTACCCACTCTTATCTATATTTTCCTTTTTCTCTTTTGTCCTCCATTGCCATTATGGGGTAGAAAATGAAGAAAGTAACACTTTTTATAGACTAGGTTCCCCATTACTCCATGATTCCCCTTCCTCTCTACAGCACCTTTGTATTCAGCATAGGCTTTTGTGTTCCTTCTGTTACAATCCAACAAGAGATACTCCTAATTGGAGCATCTCACTCTGTTCAAGTCTACCTGATTGGCAACCATGTCTTCATTTTTTTTTCTCTGTCTGTCATCCCTTCCTTTATAACCAAACTGTGCTATAATACACACTAAAAAAGTGCAATTTTATTATTGTAAAAACCACTTTGGGAGGAAATGAATGGTCAAGTTTGTGCAATACATTGAATCCCAAAGTAGAAATCACATTTTAGCCCAGGGTATGATGCAGATCTAGGCCATTTATAGTTCAATGTCTGATGCAAACTGAGTTGAATCAGCCACGGTTCAGCCGGTATGTTGTGTAAACACAGTCATTCGTATGTGTGAAGGTGGTATTGCTCACTCTTATCCAAAATCTAAAGTACTCCCCATTTCAATACTAATAAGCATGATGAAGTTAGATTGTTAGATTAAAACTGGAAACCCAGGTTCAAAATTCCGCTCATTCAATAAATATACTCATGAATTGCTCAGAGACTAGTCCTTCAACATTGGAAATAAACTTATGGCTCCAGTTACTCTGTGGATTGAAAATCTGATGTTATTTGCAATTATAAACAAGTTTTTTATGCTTGTAGATTAAGTATGGGCTATTTCAATTATATGTGGTCATCCCTTATTGAAATTGTTGTTTTGCTTTTCTTTTTCTATTTTCATTTTTAATTAATAAAGGCAAAGAAAAAGAAAATAGTAAAAAAAAGTAAAAGGAAAGAAAATCTGTGGTCACTAGGAGTTGAAAACAACTTGATGGCACATAATGAAAATAAAAGTATGTTCGTGAAATAATCCTATATTAATATTCAGATGCAGGACCTACTGATTTAATCTTTGGTAAGTGTGTTCAAGATTAATGCCTCAGTGATCTGTAAAAGTCACTTTTTTTGCATAAGCTATCTCAGAGAGTAGTTCTGCATATAAAATAGACAGGACAACCACCATTTATGTATTTCTGAACTAGGAAAAGTCAAATCAATTACAGATTAATTTTGTTTCACTCTTTCAGTCTATAGTTGGTCAGAAAGTTTTGCATTATTCCAACTGTTATTCACAGTTCAGTCTGAATAAAGCAGTGTCTGTATGCAGAACCTAGCGGCCTAAAGTGCCAGCTTTGGGCACTTTTAGATTTAAATCCTACCTCAATCTTATTTTCAGATAAATCTCAATCGCTGCCAGTAGGACTTTATTCAATTTATAGTTTGGAAACTGGATGACTTCACAGGATGGTCGCAAGGCCGATCTGGATAACGCAAAGCATTTCAACCAGTTTAGCACGGATGTTCAACCTTCTTAGGCGTGAGAAAGCCCAAAGGTCATCGCTAGCAGATTTCCTACCCGTTGCAAGGATGCCCTTCACCAGCCTCCTGAGCCGTGGCTAACAAGAGGACCATCCCATGGATACTTCGGGGAGCGCTGCTGGCGACCAGCCAGATGTGCACGTGGGGAAAGGCCCCATGCAGGCCCAGATCTCCCCCCCCCCCCCCCCCCCCCC